CCTTTGTTTCTTGCTTTCTCATCCTTCTCTCACCTGGTTTTAGCGAATATGGACCCAAAAATCTCTGGTGGCATTGAGGAAGAATTAGGGCTACGTCTCAAGAACATAGAACTATCCCGCTCAGAAGTGAAGGTAGTCGAGCTCGGGGATACCGATGTGCAGACTGGCAAGGAAGAATGCGACCGTAGCCTGCTGGGGAAGATAGTTGGCGACCGAAAAGCAAGCCTCCTTGGTCTCAAGCGCACTCTGACTCGCATATGGCAAATCTCAGAGCCAATGGAGGTTAGGGAACTTAATACAAACTTTTTCCAATTCATTTTTGGAAATAAGGAAGACAAATTGAAAGTGAGGTCAGGTACAAACTGGATTTATGACAACCAGTATTTGATCCTTCATGAGATGGAAGATGGCCTCACTACGGATGACCCTGTGTTCAAATCTCTAAATTTATGGGTTCAAGCCTGCAAAATTCCTATGAGCTGGCTTACTACAGAAGTTGGGATGAAAATAGGTGGTATTTTTCAAGAAGTTAAAAATGTGGTGGTGGTTAAAGGAAGCGGGCCTAGAGGCAACTACCTCAGGCTATTGGTCTCTATCAATCTTGAAGAACAATTACCTAGAGGTACTAGTGTGAAGCTCCATGATCAAGTCATTGGGGTAACTTTTCTCTACGAAAAACTTGTTAATCTCTGCTACTATTGTGGGAAAATTGGGCACTTGGACAGATCTTGTTCTAAAAGGATGGCTGACATGAAAAACTCCTCCTTGAATGAGGGACAATTCGGTGAATGGATGAAGGCAATGGACTACCAATATCCCTACAGACCAAACAGTTTCCACTCTCAGTCAAACAACTCTTCAGAAGGAATTCAAAGAACTACTTCTCCAGATCCCAACAGCTCTAGCTCTAGAAAGGAAAGTGCTCATCTGGTGGGGAATGACACTGCAGAAAGGGGATCAAATGTTAATAATATGAATCTGGCTATTATGGAGATCTCCCAACACAGTGAAACTCAAAAAGAAGGGGTCCCAGAAACACAGGACGCAGCATCAAAACTCTTTGTGGATCAGAACCAATCAGCTCTGCTCTCCCAAAAGGAAGCCATGATGAAAGATATCTCTTATTACAATATGTCACAAGGTCCTCACTTGGAAGCTGCTCACACACCAATCCACAAGATGCTAACTCTGGAGGAGATTGGCGATCCAACACCCCCAGAAAAAAATACCCATCCTAAAACCTGGAAAAGATCAACCAAGCAAGCTGGGAGATTACAGAGAAAGAATGCTAAACCTTCTTTTCATGAGGTCATGGCTAATACCAAAAGAGGAAGAGAGGAACAATCCAAGGAAACTCCAAAAGAAGGGGATACTGACTCTATGCCAACGGGTTCTAAGAAACTTAAAAGCTCTCAGAAACAGGTGGTGGTGGCCAACCTTGAAAGGCCACAAGTTTCCCAATGAAGACAATCCTGTGGAACTGTAGAGGTCTGGGTGGGCCCTCTACAGTTTCCCAGGTCAAGGAAGCCATTAGGCTCCACCACCCAACCCTGGTTTTCCTATCTGAAACAAGGAAGACCTCTGATTTCTCAAAAACGGTTAGCAAAAAATTGGGTTTTGAAAATAGATGGAGAGCCTGTGATCCTATAGGCCAAAGTGGGGGTTTACTTCTCCTCTGGTCCAGTGAGGCAGAGATAGCCCAAATTAACTCCAACCACTTTTGTATGGAAGTTGAAATTAAAAGGCAGAATGAAGAAGGCAGCAACTGGTTCATTTTCATTTATGCAAGCTCTGATAAAAAGAAGAGGGAAGATCAATGGCATTACTTGGAAGAAGCAAAAAAGTCTTGGGGTGATAATTGGATAGTAGGAGGTGACTGGAACGAGATATGCTCTGGGGAGGAAAAAAGAGGAGGCCTTACTAGGAATGATGCTAGCTGCATGGCTTTTAATTCATTTATTGCCAGAATGGGAATGCTGGAGATTTCAATGACTGGCAACCCCTTCACCTGGGGGAACAACAGGGAGCAAGAAGGATATATTGAAGAGAAACTTGACAGGGTTTTTGGTTCTCTTGACTGGCTAGCAAATAACCCATCTGCAAATGTGGAAAGCTGGTTCAGAAGCTCATCTGACCACCTAATGCTCATCCTCAATACTGACCCTTCTGGAAAATTTAAAAAGAAAAGGAGATTTAGATTTGATGGCAGATGGTTAAGGATGGATGGGATCACTGATGTTATTAAAGGGGCTTGGAACCAGCAACTTGAAGGAACACCAATGTTCAGAGTTCATGAAAAGATAAAGCTCACAAGGATGGCTCTACTAAATTGGAAAAGAGGAAATCACACAAACTATGAGCTGAAAATTCAACGTTTATCTGCCCAGCTGGAGGCTCTGAGCTCTCTTGGTGGCAACAGGGATTGGCTGGAATGGGATAAAATAAAAAAAGATCTGAATTCAGCTTATGATCAAGAAGAAAAATTTTGGAAGCAAAAATCCAGGAATCTTTGGCTGCGAGAAGGTGACCGAAACACAAAGTTCTTTCATGCCTTGACCATTCAAAGGAGAAAATCAAATGCCATATCCAGGCTCATTGATATGCATGGGAACTTAAGGAGTACTCCTGAAGGTATAACAGAAAGTGTGACTGAATTCTACCGGGCTCTCTTCACATCTGAAGGCTCTAGAGGTGAGGCTCAACTTATGCATCTATTCCCGAAGATCATACTTGAAGGGGATAATGATTCTCTCACAGCCAAAGTTGAGGAAACAGAAATCAGAGAAGCCCTTTTCAGCTTACACCCCGAAAAGGCTCCAGGTTCAGACGGTATGTCTCCAAATTTCTTTCAAAGCTTTTGGGAACTCATCAAACAGGACTTATGTGAAGCAATCCAAAGCTTCTTTCAATCTGGGAGAATGCTAAAAAACTGGAACCATACTCTGCTCTCTTTGATCCCAAAATGCAAAAACCCCACCTCTCTGGGGAATTACAGGCCCATCAGCCTCTGTGGTGTGGCTTACAAAACAGTCTCCAAGATTTTGGCAAATCGGTTGAAGCTTTTTCTGAGCAGATTCATTAATTCAAGCCAAACAGCATTCATTAAGGATAGACTTCTCACTGATAATGTTATAGTGGCTCAGGAGGCAATCCACTTTCTTAATAGGCACAGATCGGGGAAAAAATGTTATATGGCCTTGAAACTTGATATGATGAAGGCTTTTGACCGTATAGAGTGGAACAGTATCATTAAAATCATGTTGAGCCTTGGTTTTCACTCTTCCTTTGTGCAGTGGATTTTTGCCTGTATATCAACATCATCCTTTTCTTTCAACATAAATGGTGATATGTGTGGTTATCTGAAGCCTTCAAGGGGTATTAGACAGGGGGATCCTCTATCCCCCTATCTATTCATTATTGTTTCTGAGATGTTCTCTAGACTCATTGGCTTTGAGGTAAGGGCTGGCAATTTCCAGGGGCTGAGATTGGTAAAAAATGGTACAAGACTTACTCACCTTCTGTTTGCGGACGACTCCCTCATTTTTTGTGAAGCTAACACCTCTCAAGCTGCCTGTCTTCTTCAAATTCTTCAAAAATACCAG